TGTCTCCTTTCTAATGGCATTGTCGTTTTGGACATCCCTTTCTCCAGAATTTGAAGCGTCAAGTTCCCAGCCTTAGTTGTGTGTCGTTTTTGTCATGTGAAGCTTGTCAACTTAGTTAGCATCACCGTGTGTCATTTCAGTCTAGAGTCAATAATCGTGCGTCTAGTCCATTTGAGTTGGTACATTCTAATGTATGAGGTTCAATAAAGAATATTTTATCTAATAAATATTCTTATTTTGTGTTATTTGTGGATGACTATTCTCGTGTGACTTGGTCGTTTTTTATGAAGGCTCAGTATGAATTATTCTCTATATTTGAGACCTTTCGTAAGGAAGTAAAAACTCAATATGGTTATCGTATACGTATTTTACGTTCTGATAATGATCGAGAATATGAATCTGATTCTTATTCAACATATTTCAGTAAAACTGACATTATTCATCAGACTTCCTGTGCTTACACATCTCCACAGAACGGTGTTGCTGAACGCAAGAACCGTCATTTATTGAAAGTCACACGTGCCCTGTTATTTCAGATGAATATTCTCAGATATTTTTGGAGTGATGTTATTCTTACTTCTTATCACCATATTAATCGTAGGTTATTCTCTGTGTTAAATGGACAAAGTCCATATTCTGTCATTTTTTCTTGTAAGCCCTTATTTTTCTTAACTCTAAGGTTTTTGGATGTGTTTGTTATGCTCACAATTTTGGTCTTGGGTTTAATAAACTTGACCATCGAGTTACCAAATGTGTATTTATTGGTTATTCTCGCACACAGAAGGGATATCATTACTACAGCCCTTCTCTGTGATGATACTTTACTAGTGCCGATGTCACATTTGAGGAATCTGTTCCATATTTTTCAGCACCTTTTCAGCTCGTGGATCTGGACTTTGGGTCACCTCTTATACCACCATCTCTTCTCTCATCTTCAGATATTTCGCTGTCCACTATGTTACCATTTACTTTACCTCTTCGTGTATCCTCTCGTTGTCCTCAACTATCGACTAAGGTGCCCGTACCATCTTCCTTGCCACCTTCTAATCTTGGTTCATTAGGTAATTTAGACTCTTTATCTATTGTTCTTCGAAAAGGTACTCATTTGTGTGTTACTAATCATCTTATTACTCATTTTGTTTCATATGATACCTTGTCTCCTGTCTTCTCTTGTTTTACCTCTCAATTATCTACTATATTTATTCCTAAGTATTTACAAGATGCATTATTTGATCCAGGTTAGAGGAACGCTATGGAGGATGAGATGGATGTCTTACATCATAATAAGACTTGAGATCTCATTCGTTTACCTTCTGGTAAACGAAAGATCCTGTTCATGGATTAAAGAAAATGTGTAAAAGCTCTATTTGCCTCTGCCATTCTATGAGTCCCACGGTTGGTTGTCGTTGGGTGTATATTGTGAAATTTCATCCAGATAGTTCTGTGAAGCGTCTCAAAACCCGGCTTATTGCAAAGGACTTTTACTCAGATTTATGGTGTTGATTATGAGGAGACTTTCTCTCATGTTGCCAAATTTTTCTCTGTTCGTATCTTGATTTCTTTGGCTGTTAATCTTGATTGGCCCTTATTTCAGTTAAATGTCAAGAATATCTTCTTACATGGTGACTTGGTTGAAGAGATATAGATGGAGTAGCCACCTGGGTTTACTGCTCAGGGGGAGTATGGCAAGAGTGTATGTTTGTTAAAAGAAATCTTTGTATGGTTTGAAGCAGTCACCGAGGGCATGGTTTTGTAAATTTTAAGATGCAGTTTTAGAGTTTGATCTTCTTCGATGTCAGACAGATCATTCTGTGTTTCATAGACAAACGGATGCTGGATATGTTTTATTCGTGGTCTATGTAGATGATATTGTGATCACTGAAAATGATTATGAGGGGATCGCTAAGTTAAAAATCTTCTTGCAAGATAGATTTCATACTAAGGATTTGAAAAAACTCAGGATATCTTGAGAATTGAAGTGACTCGATCTAAACAGGGTATTTGTTTATCACAAAGGAAATATGTATTTGACATGCTAGATGAAGTAGGTTTGCTAGATGACAAACCAATTGATATTCCTATGGATCCGAATCAAAAATTATTGATGGATAATGATGCACTGTTTGAGAATTCGAGTCAGCATTGTTGATTGATTGGGAAGCTTAATTATCTCACTATTACTCGATCGAATATTTCTTTTGTTGNTGGTCTTGGGTTTAATAAACTTGACCATCGAGTTACCAAATGTGTATTTATTGGTTATTCTCGCACACAGAAGGGATATCATTACTACAGCCCTTCTCTGTGATGATACTTTACTAGTGCCGATGTCACATTTGAGGAATCTGTTCCATATTTTTCAGCACCTTTTCAGCTCGTGGATCTGGACTTTGGGTCACCTCTTATACCACCATCTCTTCTCTCATCTTCAGATATTTCGCTGTCCACTATGTTACCATTTACTTTACCTCTTCGTGTATCCTCTCGTTGTCCTCAACTATCGACTAAGGTGCCCGTACCATCTTCCTTGCCACCTTCTAATCTTGGTTCATTAGGTAATTTAGACTCTTTATCTATTGCTCTTCGAAAAGGTACTCATTTGTGTGTTACTAATCATCTTATTACTCATTTTGTTTCATATGATACCTTGTCTCCTGTCTTCTCTTGTTTTACCTCTCAATTATCTACTATATTTATTCCTAAGTATTTACAAGATGCATTATTTGATCCAGGTTAGAGGAACGCTATGGAGGATGAGATGGATGTCTTACATCATAATAAGACTTGAGATCTCATTCGTTTACCTTCTGGTAAACGAAAGATCCTGTTCATGGATTAAAGAAAATGTGTAAAAGCTCTATTTGCCTCTGCCATTCTATGAGTCCCACGGTTGGTTGTCGTTGGGTGTATATTGTGAAATTTCATCCAGATAGTTCTGTGAAGCGTCTCAAAACCCGGCTTATTGCAAAGGACTTTTACTCAGATTTATGGTGTTGATTATGAGGAGACTTTCTCTCATGTTGCCAAATTTTTCTCTGTTCGTATCTTGATTTCTTTGGCTGTTAATCTTGATTGGCCCTTATTTCAGTTAAATGTCAAGAATATCTTCTTACATGGTGACTTGGTTGAAGAGATATAGATGGAGTAGCCACCTGGGTTTACTGCTCAGGGGANAAATTATTAAATATTATGGGGACATAATAATACTATATTGATCAAAAAATAAATCGAAATGATGTGACAGTCAACAAGGTAAGTAAATATTGAATATTAAATACTGAAGGCACGTTTTAACATAAAATCTAAGCGTTAAAAAAATCAATCTCATTATAAAAAATAGTATTTTTTTTTATGTCTCTCAAAAATTTTTACCCATTATTTTTTAAAACAAAAAAAATTCAAAATAGATGACCTCAAAAAATATATCAAAAAAATATACATCATTGTATATGATAAATGCTTGAAATAATAATTGTATTGAGTTACAAATTAATAAAAAAATTAGACGATTCAACTTTTGAAAAAAATTGGTGATGTGATAGAAATGGAATAAAAAAAATATGTGGAGATAAAATTTAAATGCTTAACTCTCTTATTATATAGAAATTTAGAGGCACATGCAAAAAAGGAAGGTCTATCGTTTGTTTCTCGTAGATAATGCCATAAACTTAATCGTGTGTTTGATTTAATGGAAAGTTATGTGGATGGAAAATGGGGGAACGAAAATGGGAGAAAAAGAAAGACTTTCTATTGTTTGGATATGAATATGGATTTAGGTTTGGGTCTTAGCATTCAAGGAACAAAACCAGTAAAATNCACGTCTTATAGCGATTTATTCTAAGTTTGAATTATATGATATATATAGTTCAACTTGAGGGGGAGTGTTAAGAGTATTACGGTAGTATGTGTAAATTGTTATTAGTAAAAGGATGCATGTGTAATTCTTATTATTGTGTGTTAACTATAAATACAAGTGATGTATGAGAGTTAGATTAAATTTTTTTTAATCTCTCTCTTTCTCTCTAATATTGTGTCATGTTATTTCTCTACGATTCCCAAAATGCAAAAGGTGAAGCCTTACACTTTGACATTTTTTGCTTTTGATTGCTTATTATTGAGCTCATATTTGCCCGTCTGGATCTTGATAGGGATTCTTCCAAAAACGCATAAGGTGGAAAATTATTAAATATTATGGGGACATAATAATACTATATTGATCAAAAAATAAATCGAAATGATGTGACGGTCAACAAGGTAAGTAAATATTGAATATTAAATACTGAAGGCACGTTTTAACATAAAATNTACGTCTTATAGCGATTTATTCTAAGCTTGGATTATATGATATATATAGTTCAACTTGAGGGGGAGTGTTAAGAGTATTACGGTAGTATGTCTAAATTGTTATTAGTAAAAAGATGCATGTGTAATTCTTATTATTGTGTGTTAACTATAAATACAAGTGATGTATGAGAGTTAGATTAAGTTTTTTTNTGGACTCTCCTGTAATTTTCTAAGTTTAAAAATTTATCGATTTAATTAAACCAAATCTCATAACGTCCAATATAGATCTAATCGCGGTACTATTGGACTGAACCTTGGAGTGTGAAGTTTAACCCACCACAAATTGAATGGTACGTATGCGCAAATTGACAATTTATTTTCATTTTCTCTTTTCATTTGTCATACCATCGTTTCTACCTACTTCGGTGTATCAATCCACACTTATAGTTACAGATCAGCACTCCTCTTCCAAAGAGCAAAGGAGGCAATGGAGATAGAGAACTTTAGGGCCCACGAGATTTTTTTTTTTTGTAAAGCAAAGTAACACATTTAAAGCAATATCACCATTTAATAGTATTGGGTAACCAAAGTTTGTAATTGCATATAACTAACACTTATTAGAGCTGTACACAAAATTAAATTAGGTCCCATGCAGCTCACCCCATTCAATATAAGATAAGCTCTATTTTCCAGTCATTCTCAGAGTGTCGACAACCATGGGTACTTCTCCACGCACACATGCCTTAACTCTTTCAACCCTCTTTTTTGTTCTCATTGTGGCGATTCTGATCTCGATATCTCAAGCTCGAACCTTAAAGTCTTTCAACAATTCAATTTCGATTATTTTTGTCTTTGGAGACTCGACGGTTGATCCAGGAAACAATAACTACATAGGCACTCCTTTTAAGAGCAATTTTCCACCCTATGGGAGAGACTTTGTTAATCACACTCCAACCGGAAGGTTTAGTAATGGGCGTCTCGTGACTGATTTTATCGGTAAGCTTAGGGTTTTGTTTTTTTTTTTGGGTGTAGTTTGATGCAAAATGGCAGTTTATGAGTGCAAATAATATGATATTATTTGTTTGGAACAGCTTCATATTTAGGTGTCAAAGACTATGTGCCACCATATTTGGACCCAACGCTTAGCATTGAGGAGCTGATGACTGGAGTTAGTTTTGCCTCAGCTGGCTCTGGGTTCGACCCATTGACACCGATGATTAGCGTCTCTCTCTCTCTCTCTCTCTCTCTCATGCATATTATCATAACACTCTTGTCAATGACATAACTTTGCTCTCTTGCTTCAACAAATGAGCAAAAGTTCCTAGCAGTTAGGAATGGTTTGGATTTTGCATGAATTAAGAAGTATGTCAGCAACAAGAAGCCGAGATAAATATATACAAAAACTTTCTCAATCATGAATAAAAAGGAATGCTTGCCTGTTNAGGACTCTCCCTGTAATTTTCTAAGTTTAAAAATTTATCGATTTAATTAAACCAAATCCCATATCGTCCAATATAGATCTAATCGCGGTACTATTGGACTGAACCTTGGAGTGTGAAGTTTAACCCACCACAAATTGAATGGTACGTATGCGCAAATTGACAATTTATTTTCATTTTCTCTTTTCATTTGTCATACCATCGTTTCTACCTACTTCGGTGTATCAATCCACACTTATAGTTACAGATCAGCACTCCTCTTCCAAAGAGCAAAGGAGGCAATGGAGATAGAGAACTTTAGGGCCCACGAGATTTTTTTTTTTTGTAAAGCAAAGTAACACATTTAAAGCAATATCACCATTTAATAGTATTGGGTAACCAAAGTTTGTAATTGCATATAACTAACACTTATTAGAGCTGTACACAAAATTAAATTAGGTCCCATGCAGCTCACCCCATTCAATATAAGATAAGCTCTATTTTCCAGTCATTCTCAGAGTGTCGACAACCATGGGTACTTCTCCACGCACACATGCCTTAACTCTTTCAACCCTCTTTTTTGTTCTCATTGTGGCGATTCTGATCTCGATATCTCAAGCTCGAACCTTAAAGTCTTTCAACAATTCAATTTCGATTATTTTTGTCTTTGGAGACTCGACGGTTGATCCAGGAAACAATAACTACATAGGCACTCCTTTTAAGAGCAATTTTCCACCCTATGGGAGAGACTTTGTTAATCACACTCCAACCGGAAGGTTTAGCAATGGGCGTCTCGTGACTGATTTTATCGGTAAGCTTAGGGTTTTGTTTTTTTTTTTGGGTGTAGTTTGATGCAAAATGGCAGTTTATGAGTGCAAATAATATGATATTATTTGTTTGGAACAGCTTCATATTTAGGTGTCAAAGACTATGTGCCACCATATTTGGACCCAACGCTTAGCATTGAGGAGCTGATGACTGGAGTTAGTTTTGCCTCAGCTGGCTCTGGGTTCGACCCATTGACACCGATGATTAGCGTCTCTCTCTCTCTCTCTCTCTCTCTCATGCATATTATCATAACACTCTTGTCAATGACATAACTTTGCTCTCTTGCTTCAACAAATGAGCAAAAGTTCCTAGCAGTTAGGAATGGTTTGGATTTTGCATGAATTAAGAAGTATGTCAGCAACAAGAAGCCGAGATAAATATATACAAAAACTTTCTCAATCATGAATAAAAAGGAATGCTTGCCTGTTTTTGAATTAAAATAAAAATACTCTAATCAATTGTTTTATTGAAGCGTTAGGCCTTCGTGCAATTTAGCCACTTCAATAAAACAATTGATTTCCAACAACTCTCTCTCTCTCTTAATTCTGGGTTTTGGTTTTACACAATTTATGCTAAGTTTCGCAATCGGCTGCACTGATTTTTGATGAATTTGCTGCCATTTTTCAGGGTGTAATTCCAATGTCTAAGCAACTGGAATACTTCAGAGAGTATAAATGCAAACTGGAGCTAGCTATTGGAAAGAGAAGAACTACAATGCTCATTAACAAAGCTGCATTCATTGTTAGCGCCGGTACAAACGATTTTGTGGTCAATTATTTTGGCACACCGATTCGTCGGCAAAGCTACACTGTCTCTGGCTACCAGCAATTTTTGATGCAACTTGTCCGACAATTCATACAGGTCTGTTCCCCTATACCAGGTCTTTATCAATGACAACCACAACAAATAAATTCCTGTCCAACGCGAGTATAGTCTAATTCGGTTAAGTGCATTATTGAGAACCTGTGATTTGAACCTAAGTATTGCCTAAATTTAAATTAGACCAATAAATTTTTACCTAAGCCTAATCCAAGTAGACTCAAATTGACTCATTCAACGGTTACCAACATCCCTCTAAAAATTATTTACATTGCACCGTTCCTTCAGGCACGGATTATCCTAGTACTTACATATAGGATATCAGGAAAATGACAGAAAACTCATTGCAAAATAATATTTGTTAGTGATTACTCGACGAAGAGGCGGATCCTAGAAGGACAATGAGTGTTTATCCGTCCAAGTAAAACATTGTAAATTTATGTAAGAAAACAACTTTTTTCCAAATTAATGCAAAATTATACAACTTATCTCTATCAGGCGCTGTTATAAGAGACTGAATATTGCTTTAGACGTTTACTTGACTAATAAATAATAAATTAAAAACAAATTACTGAAACATTTAGAAGTTTGAATTTTTATCCCACACATAGTTTTGCTTTTAGACGTTTACTTGACTAATAAATAATAAATTAAAAAAAAATTACTGAAACATCTAGAAGTTTGAATTTTTATTCCATATTTTTCCTCCCAAAACCATCTCATCACATAATTTTGTCACATGTTTAGAATTATGCGGAAAGCCATATTCGATGAAAGTCGTATGTACGGCTTAGAGGGAGATCTTTCATATCTTTCGAGATCCACCTACAATATGGGGTAAAAAAAGATTGGTAGTTTAATATAATTATTGTTTCATATATTGTCCATACAAGATAATGTACATGTGTTAAAAAAAATTTGTCGGTTTATATATTTTGAGAAAATTTTGATGTTATTTTAAAAAAAATAATATATAGAAATTAATTTTAAATAATGTAATCAAATAAATGAAGAAATAAAACATTATTATTTAGTATAATAGGATTAATTTTTTAAATAATCAAATTTTATATTTTATCGTGCATTCAGGCACAAGTTATAACTTGTGTAGTTATATATACTAGTTTGTAGTATAGTGATTTAATGAATTAAAACTTATAATTTTTACCGTAGGGTTTGTTGAATGAGGGGGCTCAGAAGATAGCCATGGTTGGGCTACCTCCTATGGGTTGCTTGCCTGAAGTCATCACCCTTAGTCCAGATGCAATATTTCATCAACGTCNATAAATAATAAATTAAAAACAAATTACTGAAACATCTAGAAGTTTGAATTTTTATCCCACACATATTTTTGCTTTTAGACGTTTACTTGACTAATAAATAATAAATTAAAAAAAAATTACTGAAACATCTAGAAGTTTAAATTTTTATTCCACATATTTTTCCTCCCAAAATCATCTCATCACATAATTCTGTCACATGTTTAGAATTATGCGGAAAGCTGTATTCGATGAAAGTCGTATGTACGGCTTAGAGGGAGATCTTTCATATCTTTCGAGATCCACCCTACAATATGGGGTAAAAAAAGATTGGTAGTTTAATATAATTATTGTTTCATATATTGTCCATACAAGATAATGTACATGTGTTAAAAAAAATTTGTCGGTTTATATATTTTGAGAAAATTTTGATGTTATTTTTAAAAAAATAATATATAGAAATTAATTTTAAATAATGTAATCAAATAAATGAAGAAATAAAAAATTATTATTTAGTATAATAGGATTAATTTTTTAAATAATCAAAATTTATATTTTATCGTGCCTTCAGGCACAAGTTATAACTTGTGTAGTTATATATACTAGTTTGTAGTATAGTGATTTAATGAATTAAAACTTATAATTTTTACCGTAGGGTTTGTTGAATGAGGGGGCTCAGAAGATAGCCATGGTTGGGCTACCTCCTATGGGTTGCTTGCCTGAAGTCATCACCCTTAGTCCAGATGCAATATTTCATCAACGTCAGTGTGTGCAGTCTTTATTGTCCATTGCAAGAGACTACAATCAAATACTCCGGAAAAACCTCAAGGCCATGCACAGTGGTAGCAGCACTAGGTTTTTTTATGCAGACATATACCAACCATTGAGCAACATGATTCAAGGGCACAGTTCTGGTGAGCATAATCAATCCTCCTCATTGTTGTTCTTGCAACCCCCCCCATCTTTTGTTCTCCTCCTCGCTCCTTCTAAGTGGTGGCAAATTTCGATAGGTACGTTAATATGCATTAAGTAAGTTCTGATTGACTATTTTTTGTTATGAACCTAAAAATGACACTATTTGTTATACGAAAGGTACATGAAAAAAAGTGTCATTGTCGTATATAAATAATGTGATTTTGATATGACAACCCAAGGTAATGGCTATTGTAAGAATCCTTATAGAATAGAAGATTTTTCACTTGGTTTTTGTAGAATCTGGATTGACTGGGTATTTAATTATCGGGAGCCTATTGCTTAGAGTCTTGTGTTTCTCGTTCACGAACTATGCAAGTCAACCCGAACAAGACATAATCAATAAGTATGTCTTGCAGTTTCTAAACATCTGACGACTAATTAACTAGATTATGTTATGATTTTAATAAAATAATCAGAACGAATATGAAATGACACGACTCAATTAAACACGAAACCAACCCTACGATCCAATTCTCACCCCCTATTTGCTTACTTTTTGCAGGTTTTGAAGAGGTTAGCACTGGTTGTTGTGGGAGTGGATACATTGAAACTTCATTTATGTGCAACTCGGAATCAGCTGTTTGTAAAGATGCCTCCAAGTACGTGTTCTGGGACTCAATACACCCAACTGAAGCAGCATACTACATTCTTTTCGAGGCCTTACGTCCAACCATTGATATTGTCTTCAAAGAATAGCATGAGATGATCATCGCATGAACGGTCATGATTGAGTAGGCGTGATTTAAGAAGTGATTAGGAAAATTAAAAGATTTTATCATATGAAAAATATAGAGAATGTAAAACAATTAATTGCTTGAATTATGCTATTAATTAATTGTTTTATTTATTTATGTCGATAGAGTGACTATATAAACCCGTCAAGAATCCTATATGATAATCGAATTCTGTTATAAATTTCTCAATTTTATATATATATTTTTTTCAAATTTGTACACCAAATTCATATGTTGTGGATATGTAGAATTAGACAAGTAAAAGGAAAATATTTTTCCTATAATTTTTTTTGGGTGAAGCATGTATTATATATGAGACATGACCTCAGTCACACAATTCATGTGACTAGGCGTGCGGGTCGTTACTCCGCACGCGAATTCACCACGAATTAGTGGATTTAAATTATCAATTTGCGAGTTCAAGTTTACCAATTAAAGACTTTGACTAAGAAAATTCACGAATTCAACTAATAAATTAAGCAAATTGAACAAACCAATATTGCATATTCAAATTATCAAATCAGTTAACTTAAAAAATCAATTCGCGAATTAAATGTGGATTATCAATTTTACCCCAAACTAATGACCAAAGTAATTCCATAAAATTAATTTTTAAATTAATAAAGTCAATTATCTTTTAAAAATCGTGATTTTTTAAGTCAAATAATAAATTTACTCCTAATAAACATTCGAAAAATTAAAAACCCTTTTAAATAAACAAAAAATTAAAAATGAAGCATATTATGTTGAATCCCATTTATAATCGAGTAATATGATGGTCATAGCCGCTTCGAATTGATGATGTCTTGATATGCATGAATGATGTCACCACTGTTGTCACTTATAATTTTCTTCCTGTTATAATGTTATTATGTTAATAATCGTGCTTGGAACCAAAAAAAAATGTTCTAATACTATGTAAAGTTTAGTTGCACAGTACAATGAAAATGGAGAGAAAAGTGTAACACTTTCAAAACACTTCCGCTCTAATTTTTTTTTTTTGAATTTTACCGCTTTTACAATTCTACTAGAAGAAAGGAAAATGACNGCATATTATGTTGAATCCCATTTATAATCGAGTAATATGATGGTCATAGCCGCTTCGAATTGATGATGTCTTGAGATGCATGAATGATGTCACCACTGTTGTCACTTATAATTTTCTTCCTGTTATAATGTTATTATGTTAATAATCGTGCTTGGAACCCAAAAAAAAAAGATGTTCTAATACTAGGTAAAGTTTAGTTGCACAGTACAATGAAAATGGAGAGAAAAGTGTAACACTTTCAAAACATTTCCGCTCTAATTTTTTTTTTTTTTGAATTTTACCGCTTTTACAATTCTACTAGAAGAAAGGAAAATGACATTTTGACCCTCTTAACTATGGTATTGATGTCACTTTTTCTCCTTACCTATGGAGTTTCTTACATAATTCAACAACTATTTCAATTGGCATCAACTCTTTTTTTTTTTTAAGGTCACAACTATTATATTAATGTCACAATTGACAATATCATTATATAATATGCCCTTCTAATTGAGATAATAATGAGATTCAAATCCCGACGCCCACTCCTAAATAGTCCTACAATTAAACATTAATCATCTTTAAGAACTACATCTCCATTCACCATTAACAGCGTACTTATCGATTTTCGATTGCAAATATTATAGCATCATGTATGGTTCAGATACATACGGGTAGTACATTGTGTCCATATGCTTGGTACCATTCCCATCAATTTTTCTTCTCAGAGATGAAAAAGACAGCTCTCACCTACTTAAGAAGGCTCATAATTTTCGAAAAGTGATGAGGTATTGATTTGATTTGATTGTACAAGTTTTATATAGTATTAAAGGCGTTGTCCAACTCGTGTCCATACTACAACATAGAAAAAAGATAACTAAGTGCACAAGATTAAAACAATGCGACTTTGTGCACAATATTCGGATATATTTCAGTTCGGCCCACGACAACTGATCAATGAGAATTTAGCAGTCATGATTCAACATGCAGTTCATCTATATTAAAAGCAAATTCTCTAAATTAATGGTATTGGGTAACCATAGTTTGTCTTTGCATTTAACTAATCACAATTATAAATTAGGCCACATGCAGTTCATCTTACTCAATATAAGGTATAGCCTATTTTTCATAATTGATTAGATGATGTCATAGCTAAAATATGATTGGAAGATAAAAGTGGAGCAATTTTATTGCTTGATTGAGATGAGAGTTCCTTTGTAATTGGTTAGACGATGTCATTACTAAAATCTTATTGGAGGATATAAGTGGAGCAATCAAATGCATTGTTTAAATGCAATGAAGTTTATTTGCCACCACCTTGAGATACTTATAAATAGACATGGGTCTTTTGGTTTTGAGATCATCCGAAAATTGTATTTGTTCAATTTTTATTCTTTTGTTGAGAGTATGAGAGATTTTCTTTACTGGGGATTTGAGAGGGTAAGGTTGAGTGGGTTACACAAGGGGTTAAGGGCTTGGATTTGGGATTTAAACCTAAGTGGTGAGGCTTATATCATTGTACTCATTTTCTCTCAATAGTAAAGAAAGAAGACCGGATCACGTCTCGTGGACGTAGGCAAAACAATTTTGCCGAACCACGTAAATATTGATGTTGTGAGTTGTGCTTTGATTTTTTTTATTCTACTTTTTTTTTTCTTATCATTGTACTGATCAAATTATTGTGAAGTTAATTCCCAACACATTATGTTGGTGATTTTGCCATTTTGCAGGGTGTAATTTCAATGTCTAAACAACTAGAATACTTCAAAGAGTATAGAACAAAACTGGAGCCAGCTATTGGAAAGAGAAGAACCAAAAACCTCATTAACAAGGCTGGGTTCATTGTTAGCGCCGGTACAAACGATTTCGTGATCAATTATTTTGCCACACCGATTCGCCAGCAAAGCTATACTGTCTCTGGCTACCAGCAATTTCTGATGCAACATGTCCAACAGTTCGTACAGGTCTGTCCCCTATTACAGTCTTTATCAAAGAGATGAATGACACTTTATGAAATGGGCACCCGATGATTGAAAAGTTTACAGGTGCAACTCGAGTGGGTTGGGTTGTTTGAGAGGTCAAATGAAGGCAACTCAGTTTCATTATACAACTCTCAACCGAGTTAAACATATGACCCTAATTCGACCTCGACTTTTTCAACCCGAGTATTGCTCATTTGGGGTGAAAATCTGGGTTGAAATCGGGGTTTAATTCTCATGTTAAATAATTTGAGCTGTAAGGTGTGTTCAATTGTGGTTAAAATTTGATTTGAACCTAAATTTAATTCTTGAATTACATGGCTCAAGTTATAATTCGGGTCCACGTCATGTTTAACTCGAATCCACTAATTGGGTTTGGACCCAATCCAAGTATTGTCCAAATTTCCCAGCTCAAGTACTGAAAAGTTTTACCCAAAGTACTGAATATTTTTCTTTATAATTGCATCCCTACCATATAGAGATGTACATGAAGGCACTCCAAATTCTCTCTCCTGCAATTTTTTGAGTTTGATCAATAGAATGGTTTCATTGATAAAGAAAAATTGGTTATACAACGTAAGTCAAAACATGTCTGAATACTCTCCTAAGTATAATTGGGAACGAAAAATTCAACGAAACAAACTACATTGTATAGAAGAAAACCTGACAAACTAACTATTCCTGGCACATCCCGAAAGGTAGAATGTTTTTTTTTTTTTCTGACTGATAAATATGTTTTCATTGATCTAAATAATTACAAGTAAAGCATAGTTCAGACCATGCCAAAACTTACTCAAGTTACATCTTCAAGAGAGTTATTTGGGATTCAAAATAACCTAATATGGAAGAGAATATTTGCATGATTCGAACGGCTAGATAACTACTACTCTTACATCTCTACAGGCTAGGATTTTTTTGCCTTTTCATAAAAATAAAACTACAACTAAAACTAAGCCAACTAGACTCCCCTTACAAACCAAGGGGTTAGGCTCAATCTCTCTCCTGCAAATTTAGATATTGTGTTAGTGATATCCTCAACCACACATCCACATTTCGCATTGTGGCTCAGTTGAAGATAGTCAAACTCTGAAATTAATGGCTCATCAAACCTTATTAATGTGGGGGGACTAGTAGTACTACTGCTCTTAAAATGGTAGTTAAGAAGATCCACCCCACAGATATCACTGCCAAGAATCACCTATTCAACTTGATCCTGCATTTTGAAGTGCAATGGTGATTAGAAGTTGATCTAACAGTCATCGTTTTTCTTGTTGAACTTTAAAGTTGCAAGTTCATTGCATTTTAACCGTCATCATTTTTGATGTTGAACTTTAAAGTCATGAGTTCATTGCATTATCATTGCTGTGAGGACAAGTAGAGAAAATTATATGATCAAATATTTGTAAAAAATAATTATAGATTTTAAGCATAGATTTATAATTGGAATCAATAAAAATTGCAACTAAACTTTTGGCCAAATCAACAATTATTAGAATTATGATGTAAATAAAATAACTACGAGTGTTATAATCTAAATTTTGAAATAAAGCATGCAAAGCATGCAAATAGTAGTTAGATTATTAAAAATATAGCATGCAATTTAAATAAATACAGAAAATGTATAAATATACAACCTATATAAACCAAATAAATTTATTTAGAAAGAGTTGGTCTGCGAGTCCAATAGACGTGTAATCACTATCCTAAAGCAATTGAACCTCTCTACGTGAGGGTACGGACGGATATTAGCGACTCTAAGATCTAATCCAGGCGCTTGCAGCAGTAACTTTTTAATGGTCATATACACTGGAAGGTTAAGGTGAATTTGACTCGAATTCAATTGCCCAAAATAAAAAATATTAATTGAAAAGGTAGGTAAAGTGTGAAAGAATAAAATGAGGAATTAGTAGGTCTCCTGGGTTTTGATTTCGTTGCCCTTCAAACAGATTTCTCAAA